CAAATGGTTATGCTCTTATCACTGTCCTAATTATTGAAAACTAGCACTGCTTGGAGTGAAACCTAAACACGAAAGGATTAGCGTGTATTTTCAGGGTAGAGTTTTCCAAAGGAGGCATTTCAGTTGCAACCCATAGTTATTAAATTATTCTATAATGTATAACAAAATGTTAATTGTATATTTGGAAATACCACAGCTTGAATGAGATAATTCGGGGTTTTACCATCTCTTTCTGCTGGCGAAAGCTTTTGTTGGGCTTCTTTTGCAAGCTGCAACATTTCTTCCTCCCAGGAATCATAACATAACTTCGAATCTGCAATTATAAAAGAAAGTGTTTGCTTCATTCAGCTTGTCAATTTATTTATTTATAATTCTCAATCCTACACACATTACATGCACAAGGTCTGTGCATTAGAAAAGGCTGAAGTGACGAATGAAAATAGCTTAAACTTACAAACATTGATTTAGAAATAGAACGTACATCGTTATCAAATCAACAATTATCTCTGGTGCTCCTAAAATGTTATGATGTGTCACCAAGATGACTAGTGCAAAAAGAATAACAATGAATGCAATGACTATAACAAACTTTGGCACAGAAAAATACAGTTATATTTTTCCTGAAAGCGCATGACGTAATGCAAAAACAATTATAGACTTTGTCCTGCCTCCCAAATTAATATATAAATATAAAATGCAATATCTGTGTTAGGTTTCCAGTGATAACAAAAGTAAATATTTGTCTTAGGTCAAGAGCAATTACAAAGTTCAACATCTATTTATGATAATAATTGGTAACGGAAAAGAAGAACCGGAGTTTACAGTTCAATATTTGAATATTACAGAGTACACTAGTGGAATTGAATATCTATATGAGATAACCACACAAAACCAAATGCAATGTCATTGTAAGGTGAACAAGAGTCAATAATTGCATGGCGTAGGTATTTGACCACAGAAAACCACAACAAACCACAATAATATCTGATGAAATAGAACAGAGGTTACAAATTGCAATGCCAGTGTAAGGTGACCTGAAGACACCAAAGTAAATATTTGTTTTAGGTCAAAAACAAAATTCAATATCTGTGTATGATTACAAATGGTAACGGAGAAGAGTGACCAGAGTTAACAGAAGTTATTATTTAATGGTGTATTTGTCCAGAATTAACTGAGGTTAATAAGGTGACCAGAGGTAGCAAAATTTAATATCTTTGTAAGGTGACCAAAGGTTACTACTTTAAATATCTGTGAAAGGTGACAAGGATATAACCTAATTAGATTTATGCTTTGGATGTAAGGTCACCATAGGTAACCATGATCAATACATTTTTAAAGTGACCAGAGTTAACAAATGTCTAGATTTGTGCAAAATGGCCAGGTGTAACCAAAGTCAATAAGGTGGTCAGAGGTAACCAAATTCAATATATGTGTAAGGTGACCATATGTAACCAAAGTAATTATTAGGTCAAGAGCAATAACCAAATTTAATGTCTATGTATGATGTCTAAAGGCTACATTTGCAATATCTGTGAAAGATGACCATAGGTAACCAAAACTTATATGTGCATAGCACGAGTATGTGACCAGAAATAACCAAAGTAACTATCTGCTGAATGTGACCAAAGTGTAAATATTTCAATACCTGTGAAAGGTAAATATTTGTCTAAGGTCACATATATATGCATGTCTAAGTAGACCAGAGGTTTCCAAACTTAATGTCTTGGTAATGTGACCAGAGGTAACCCAAGACTATTTCTGCAGGTGTTTTGTGACCAGATTCAACGAAAGTTAAATTTGTGTTAGCCAAAGGGTTCCACAGTGTATCACATACATGTAGTTAACAATCTTATCATTAACACCAGTCATTTTAAGGCCTATTTGAATTTAAAGGTAACTATTTTGTATTGGTTACCTAAGCTACACACAAGACCCATAACATATCCGTTTCATCTTGACCTCTTCTAGAAGTTCTACAACTAATCTCATTTAATGTTATCTTCATATCAACTGCAGCTGCATAAACAATATTTTAACTATCAACTATATTTACAAAAAACATATCTAGTAAATACCTACCACCTTCATCTTCATTTTCTGTAGTCTTCTGCAAAAGAAGAGAAAAAAATATTATGACCTAATTATGAAATCAATTTACTTATCAGAAAAAATCTTACGACCATAAATATGAAGTGATTAAAAATATTTCGATAAACTAATAACACATTTTTTATTGTAACATGCTCTTGGTGCAAGTACACAATGGTACCATTTCAAATTCTTTTTCAGATTTGGTTTTGGCTATGATGATCATGGAAAACTATGTTTATTCTGTAAATTGTTATAAGTGTATTGAATACAATATTATAGTAATCTATATCCATTCTCAAGTCATGATGCATATCAAACCTGTTCTCTCTTTTGACTCTCTGACTGACTTTGACTTTCTACAATGGAAATAAAAAAAACGTGAAACAGTTGCTTGTAAAAGCTGATATTTGGTTCAAGAGTTATAAATTCAAATCAACCAGAAAATTGAATGGTTTCAATTAAGTCATAATTGCCATTATATAAAAATCTTTCACAGAAACATCAGTTCAAATTAAATATAAATCGATCACCAAATAGTGGTACTACATAAAAAAAAATACCAGGAGCAGAGGCATACACATTCTGTCGCCATCCTTACATATTTCAACAACAAATCAAATGAATACATACCAACTTCAACACACTTATCTTCAGCTCTCTGCAAAATAAAAGATAAAGCATTATAACCTAATTATGAAATCAAATCATCTATCAGAAACAATCGTCTAAGGATATATATGAACAGATCAAAAGATTTTGGTAAATAATCAGACATTATTCATTATAAAAAACTTTGACACTGGTTGCCATATGCATTCCAATTTGTTTTATTTTCATATGGTGATTACAATGATTTCTATTCTTGCTGAACCGCTGATGTATATCAAACCTGCTCTCCTATATTTTCTGTCTGTGGCTTTCTATGATTATCTGAAAATGAATAGTAATAAACGCATTAAACAGTTTCGTGTTACTATTGGAAGAATAATCAAGTCCTAGCAATTCAATACAACCATAACGAAAAATAAAAGTAGTTATTAATCAAGCTAAAGTAGCCATTTAATAAAAATCGGTTACTAAATATTGATATTACAAACAGAAATACTGCAGGCATAAGCATAACAATATTGTCGTCATTTATATATATCTAAAACATATGAAATGAATACATACCAGCTGCATTTTCTTTTTCGTCAGCTTTCTTCAATATAAAAGATAAAATAATTATGAACTCATAATGTAATCAAATCATCTAGTATAAACTATTTTATAAGGATAATTCTGTTATAAAATTCTGACATTATTCATTGTAACATGTTTTGACACTTAATTCCACTTCAAATTATGTGTATGCTCAGACCTGCTTTGATTGCGATGATCATGGAAAATATAATTCATCGTAATAATTGTAATAGATATAATGAATTCTATATAAAAATATTCTCTATTTTTGATGAACCAATGGAGTATATCATACCTGTGCTCCTCTCTTTTGTCTCTTTGAAGGTATTTCCTTTCCTACAAAAGAATTAGAAAAAATCATATAACAGTGTCTTGTTTATTCTGATATTTGTTAAAAGTCATTTTAATTCAATGCAACCAGAAGAAATGTAACTGCATGTTTGTTTAATCATGACAAAGTAACAAGTTTCTAAACATATGTCACCAAATATCAAAAACGCAAAGAGATATAAGCTATGGTATCATATCATTATTCTGTTATAATCACTTATGGTATATCATGAACAACAAAACAAATGGATACATACCACCTTTTTCATTCTTTTTTTCAGCTTTCTGTAAAATAAAAGATAAACAATAATATGGATTTTTATGAAATTAGTTCGTTTTTCGTAAAATATCTGATGAGTATGAATATAACGTAACTAAGTACATTTGATATACCAGAAAAACATTGTTTTGTTGAATGTAAAATGCTCTGTTTGCCAGCTCAATTTCAATTTTGCTGTCAGTTTTAATTTTTTTACTATGACGATCCTTGATTATACTAATCTTTCAGTTTAGTGGTGAATGTAATGTTCTAATAATATATATTAGTATTCTTGCTGAATCTATGATTTATGTCAAACCTGTTCTCCTGTATTTCCCTTCTGAGACTGTCCTTGATTACCTTAAAATATAAAAATGGAAGCATTAAACAGTTTCGTGTTACTTTTGGAAGAGTAAACATGTCCTAGCATTTCAATACAACCATAAAGAAAAATAATAGTAGTTATTAATCAAGCAAAAGTATCTATTTAATGAAAATCGGTCACTAAATGTTGATATTATAAAAAGAAATACTGCAGGAATAAGCATATATTTAACTATATTGTCGTCATTATCATATATCTCAAAACAAATCAAATGAATACATACCATCTTCATTTTGTTCAGCCTTCTGCAATATAAAAGATATGATACAAAACTTTTAGGAATTTTTTGTCCTCAATGGTCTTCAACTTAGTACTTTATTTGTTCTTGAACATTGTTTTAATTGAGCGTCACTGATGAGTCTTTTGTAGACGAAACGCGCGTCTAGATAAATATGGAATTGCAGTCTTGGTATCTATGATGAGTTCATTTATGATTATAACCTAATCATAAAATAAAATTACCTAGCAGAAACTATCTTATAATGATAATTCTGGTATAATATTGTAGCATGTTTTGACACTGAATGCCACATTAAGTTATGTGTATGCTCAATAGATATAAGAAGATGTGGTATGAGTGCCAATGAGACAACTCTCTATCCAAGTCAAAATTTATAAAAGTAAACCATTAAAGGTCACAGTACGGTCTTCAACACGGAGCTTTTGTTTACGATAATCATTGAAAATATCGTTCATCGTGTTAATTGTAATAAAAGTATGGAATTCTATATACATGTAACAATAGTATCTGTTCGTGCTGAACCAATAATGTATACCAAACCTTTACTCCTCTCTTTTGCCTCTTTGATGGTCTTTCCAATTCTACAAAAGAATAAAGAAAAAACATTAACAGTTGCTCATGAATGCAGATATTTGGGAAATGTCCTTTTAATTCAATACAACCAGAAAAAATTAAACTATATATACATGTTAATATACAATTAGGAGATGTGGTATGGTTCCCAATGAGACAACTATCCACCAAAGTTAAAATTATAGGCATTCACAAGGCCTTCAACAAAGAGAAAAACTGATACCGGATTGTCGACTTTAAAAGGTCCCTATATAAAAATATGAAACAATTCAATTTAGAAGATTAGCGGCATTATATAGAACAAAACAATTCACGAAAAACAAGCATGACAAACATAAAACAACGAGAACCAGTTGAAATTAACTGCATGCTTCTGACTGGAGACAGGCTAAAAAGAATGTACAAGGTGACCAGCAGTTACAAAATGCAATGTCGTTGTTTAGTAAGAAGAGGTTGTCGAGTACAATCGTTGTGTATGGTGACTAGAGGTACACGTGTAACCAAATTCAATATATGCGTACTAAATTATAATCCTGGTACCTTTGATAACTATTTACACCACTGGGTCGATGCCACTGCTGGTGGACATTTCGTCCCCGATGGTATCACCAGCCCAGTAGTCGGCACTTCGGTGTTGACATGAATATCAATTATATGGTCATTTTTATAAATGTCCTGTTACAAAACTTTGAATTTTTCGATAACTAAGGATTTTCTTATCCCATGAATAGATTACCTTAGCCGTATTTGGCACAACTTTTTGGAATTTTGGGTCTTCAATGCTCTTTAACTTTGTACTTGTTTGGCTTTATAACTATTTTGATCTGAGCGTCACTGATGAGTCTTATGTAGACGTAACGCGCGTCTGGTGTACTAAATTATAATCCTGGTACCCTTGATAACTAATTACGATATGAAAAGATACCAATTTCAATATCAGTATATGTTGACCACAGATAACCAAATTCAAAATCAGTACTGTTACAATTTTATCACATGTGAAAGGTTGTCCAAAGGGATATCCAAAAGAGGTATCATGAAAGATGACAAGTTCTAACATGTGTACACTTATATTAACTGATCCGAGAGTGAATATATGACCAAACCAGACATAATGAAAAAAATTATTTGTAGGTTAATGGTCAGGAGTAACAAATAGAAGTCAATACCTACTGTTACTATGGGTATTTGAAGTTCATTTTTTGAAAGGTGACCACAGGAAGCCATGTTCTTCACAGTTCAGTGCCCTTGTGACGAGTGAAAAGAAAATACACTATCTGATATAAGAAACATACAAATGTTTAACCTTAATTTGACCATGATCTGAAACATATATTCATTAATCTGTTTAAAGGTAATTACCTGTACTCCTTTGTTTGATATCAGTCAACATAATCCTACAAAAATTAATAAAACAAAAATCAATCTTAACTCGAGGTAAGGAGCTAGTCTATGATTTTCACATATGGGGGCACCTGGTTGGTATGCAAACGTTTGGGTATACTTTTTTTTATTCAAATGAACTCCATCCTACATCTGCCTCTGAGCTATCTTAAGATTATCAACTACATGCACATGTAAGAAAATATAGAAAGTATTGGTGAAATATTCATTTCTTAAACCTGTTTTTGTATCTGGTTTTATTCTTTTGAGTCTGCCATACAACAATAAATGAAAATTAGCCAGGTTCATGCATTTAAGAGTAAATGGTTTATTGAACAAGAGGCTCTCAAGAACCTGAGTCGCTCACCTGTGATCGTTTTGCTTAAATCTTTCATCATTGATTATTTTTGCTTTGTTGCTTATATATCAATGAGTGGCTTAAAATGCCATTTAAATGTTCATTGGATCTGTTATATTTTCTTCAAAAGCAAATAAATGCATTTTACCCATACGTTCCATTTTAGCCATAGTGTCTTATGTTTCCTGACGTGCAAGGAAATAAAATACAAATGTTATACCCGATTCATTTGAGAAGATTTTTACCGTTAAAAATACTTGTGAAAAATTGTCCTTAAATGGGCAATAACTCTCTAAGGGGTCATTAGACAATTTTAGTCATATTAAACTTGTTTGTAGATCTTACTTTGCTGAAATGTTTTGCTATTTACAGTTTATCTTTATCTTCAATAATATTTAAGATAATAACAAAAATCTGCAAAATTTCCATTAAACAACCAATTAGGTGGCAGCAACCATTCAATGGGTTCTTCGGTTTGTCTGAAAATTTGAGGGCTGATAGTTCTTGACCTTTTCAACATTTTTTACCCGATATCAGATTTGCTCTAAATGCTTTAGTTTCTGATATATAAGCCAAACACTGCATTTGACCCCTATGTTCTATTTTTAGCCATGGTGGCCATGTTTGTCGATGGATCAAAACTTCGGATACAATTCATTAACTAGATACCCAAAGAAACATTTAGTTCAGGTTTGAAGGTATTTGGCCCAGTAGTTTCAGATGAGAAGATTTTTGAAATAGTTTACGACTACAGACGACGACAGACGAACCCAAATACGACAGACGACGCCGACGACGACGATGACGACAGACGACGCCGACGATGACGATGACGACAGACGACGACCACGGACGACAAGTGATGACATAAGCTCACACGGGGCCCAATCGGGCCCCGGTGGGCTAAAAATGAAGAATTTCAAGTTAGATTCACTTGCATAAGTATGGGTTACCGGCACAAACCTAATATGTGAAGCAACTATATAATAGATATCTATGAAGAGCGTTTAACTATAGTTAATGTAAATCACGTAAATAATCAGTTGTTTGTGTAGTAGTTGAACTTACAAATCATTCAAATCTTTCATTTACACGTGTTACAAGAAGCTAAATAGAGAGTACAATCATGTACTGTGTATTCGGAAATAACTGCGATGTTTTATAATTGCGAAAATGCGACAAGGTTAAATTGTAATCGCAATAATTCAAAATCCAATTTTAGATTTATTATTATGAATGAAGCGAGTTTTTTTCAGTATCATAAAAAATAATCGCATTTCGGTCTAAAAATGACAAAATTGCAATAATAAATGCAGCAGCACACAATAATTTCTGAATTTATTACAATACTTTTAATTTATTCTATTTTTAGAACCACAATATTAACATGATTAATGAACAGAATAGCACTATTTTTAGAGGTTTCCTGTACCAGGCTCCTTTCAGCGTAACAATTAACATTGTGAACAGTGGCGGATCCAGATGGGAGGGTCAGGGGTTTGAACCCCCCTTATTACGATCAATGCTTTTGAATGGAGACATATTGTTGGAATCCCCTTTATTCTGGGTTCGCCCCTAGTGCACATGTCATATTATAACCTGATATATAACGACTAAAACCCGAATATCAGGTTTAATAAAATTAAACTTGTGTATTACAATGCAGCATACAAAAAGTATGATTAAGCCATACAAGTTTACCTGACTTCGCTGTCTTCTCGTTTCGATCCCTCATTTTTTCTCTTTTTGTATGGCATGCTGAAGTTCAATAACTCATGAATGTTGGAATAACCCGTTTGCTATTTATAGATCTCTAGTATGTATTCTCAAAGTCACCATCCGATGCAGATGCAGGATTTTTTAAAAGTTGGGAGCCGGGTCCCACATACTTAATACAATAACTAAATATGCAGCAATGGAGACAGGGCCCCTGACCACCTCCCCATATTTTTATATATAAATAAGAAATAGTCTAAAGTATTTTGGGTTATATATGAAATAATTTATAAATGAAATCGAATGCACAAACACATTTCAGTAAATTATTGCGAGTTCCTGTGATGTGCCTCACATATCTTATCATTTTTTCCATTTGACTGTATTTTGTACAGACGATTCTCCAATTAGACAATGCTATATAAAACATAATTAAGAATTTTAAGATGTGCAAGGTATGAGTCATCATGCACATCACAATGACGTTGGTGTCCTGTATACCAGTATAGTATATTATATTGTTTGAATTTTTTTGTTGACGGTTTTCCATACGTTTCCGTTGTTCAAGTGCAAGAATGCTCGTTCATCTAGATTAGTTGCCCTTGGAAAAACGCGTACACAATATTTTCCCAAAAGGAGTAAAGCAATTTTTAAAAACATTTTTTTAATGTGTGGCAACATGTCAACATGTCATATTTGCTGTATTTGTATAAGTTTTTAATAATCAAATCTTAAATGTGTATTTATTTGCCCTTGTGAAAAACTAAATTTACCAATATCTGTCTAATGGACCACAATAAATAAAAATATAGCTTGACTATACATTAGACAGGTCTGTGCCGATGATTTGCCATTAATTCTGTATATAGTGTACGGAAGTCATCGGGGTCGTTTGACCTCCAAAAAATACGAAACATAAAATTAATATGCTACTACGTTACACAACTCCATGAGTGTAAAACAGATGTCAATTTGGATTTCCCTACAGATGTACATGTATATGTATTAAACAAGTACCAAAAATGAAATAGCCACAAGTATTTTGTGTTATATACAAAATAATTTATGGAAATTAAATTGAATTCACAAACACATTTAAGTCAATTATTGCGAGTTCCTGCGATATGCCCCACATATCCTATCATATTTTTGTTTCACTATGTCTGACGCCGCAGTGGCGGATCCAGAACTTTTCATAAGGGGGAGCCCGCTGACTGACCTAAGGGAGGGCCAACGCTCGTCATGCTTCAGTGATTCCCTATATAATCAACCAAATTTTCCCCACCAAAAGGGGGGGGGGCGCCCGCCACAGCCCTGGATCCGCCTTTGGACGGTATTTTGTACAGACGATTCTCCAATTAGACAATACTATATCAAACATAATTAAGAATTTTAAGATATGCAAGGTATGAGTAATCATGCAAGACACAATGACGTTGGTGTCCTGTCTACCAGTAAAATATATTCTTCAGGATGACAGTGTCCAATGTCTTTATATTGTTTGTATCTTTTTGTTGACGGTTTACCCTCGGTTTACCATACGTTTCCGTTGTTCAGGTGCAAGAATTGTCGTTCATCTAGATTAGTTGCCCTTGGAAAAACGCGTACACAATATTTTCCCAAAAGGTGTAAAGCAATTTTTAAAAACATTTTTTTTAATGTGTGGCAACATGTCAACATATCATCCTTGTTGTATGTGTATTGTTTTTAATAATCAAATCTCAAATGTGTATTTATTTGCCCTTATGAAAAACTAAATTTACCAATATGTCTAAAAGATCACAATGAATAAAAATATAGCTTGACTATACATTAGACAGGACTGTGCCGATGATTTGCCATTAATTCTGTATATAGTGTACGGAAGTCATCAGGGTCGTTTGACCTCCAAAAAATAAGAAACACAAATTTAATATGCTACTACGTTACATAAATCCATGAGTGTAAAACTGATGTCAATTTGGATTTTCCTACAGATGTACATGTTATATGTATTAAACAAGTACCAACACATAAGATGAAATAAGACAACACAAAAGTCAGAGCCCACGTACAGCGATAAATGGAAGAGGTAGATCTCTATATATGTTTTCAATATGGTCTCAGCGAATGTTAATAATAATCATATTTCATAAATTAAATAGCAAAGTTTTGTTATTACACTTCTATGGTTATATGTAGTAAAGCTGCAATACTTTTTTATTTTTTTTATTTTTTTAACAATCTGTAGATTCTTAGTTTATCATCTCCTTTCTCATCGTTAATAAGTTGATTGCTTAACGGCCGGTGGCTAATATTTCATGCATCTACGAGATAGAGGGCGAGAATAAATAAACAAACAAATGCATTAGGAAGGTCCTAGCTGTAATATATACCGTATAGGATAAAGTTCGAGGAAATTTGGACTGCAAATGGAAAATGAAGGTTAATTTGGTATGGTCAGAAAGTTTGCCTTGCAACAGGCCACCTCCGAACCCTTCAAAGAGCTGTTACAATGGTTATTAACGTGAAGTGAGTGTAGCACTCTCTACACGAGGCATCGGATTTAAAGTCTGTATGAAAATTGAATTGGTCTGTAATTGAGGTACAAATATAATGTGCACCTCATGTAGACAAAGCCTTCCAAACTATTGATGGTAATACATTTAAATTTATTATATCTGGGTGTATGTAGGTTGAATTAGTCTGCACTTCAAGTCTTGAGATAGAGTTGATGTGAGCCTCAAAAAAACAAAGGCTGTCCAAAGTTGTGGTGATAATACTCATCAATATTCGTCAGAGTTTGATGTACGTAGATTGAATTTGTCTGCACTTGACGCACAGTTGATGTGTACCTCAAGTAGACAAATCCTTTTGAAAGTTTTATCGTCCAGAACAGGCATGAAATATTTGTCACTGGACGTTAAGCAAACAACAATCAATCAAAATTTCTAATGGTAATACACATTAGTTATGTTAGTATTCTTTATGTATGGTTGTATGTAGATCCAATCGGTCTGTACTTGAGGTACAGTTAATATGTACGTCAAATAGACAAAACATGTGGAATGATTGGATTGTAATTCACATTAATGTTCCTTAGGCTTTTGATTCATGTAAACCTTCATAGTCTGTACTTGAGATTCAGTCGATTTGACGTAAAGTAGAAAAAAACTGTCAAATTGTTGTTGTTTATAGACATTCCTGTTCATTAGGTTTGAGTGTATAATAATTGAATTAGTCTGTATAAATGAGATGTATTTCATGTAGACAAAGGCTGTTCAAAGTTTTGATGATAATTGAATATTCATTATATTTAGATGCATGTAGATTGAATTGGTCTGCACTTGAGGTACAGTTGATGTAAAATACCTCCAGTAGACAAAGACTTCCGAAGTTTTGATGATATTACACATCAATATTCATCAGATTTTGGTGCAAGTAAATTGAATTGGTCTGCACATGAGGTACAATTGATATGTACGTCAAAAAGACAAAGCCTGTCGAAAGTTCTGATAATAAAATACACATCAATATTCATCAGGGTTGGCTGTATGTTGATTCAAATGGTCTGTATTTGAAGTACAGTTTATGTGTAAATCGAGTAGAAAACTCATTACTAAAGTTTTAATGCTAACACACATTAGTATACATTAGAGTTGGTTGTGTGTAGATCCAATTGGAATGTACTCCAGGTTTATAGTTGATGTGTACATCAAGTAGACAAGCCTGTCAGGTGTAATACATATTAATGTTCCTCAGGCTTTGATTTATGTTAGTTGGTATGTTCTTGAGATTCAGTTGATTTGACGTCGAGTAGAAAATAAAGGCAACAGTAGTATACCGCTGTTCGAAACGGAAACTCATAAATCGATAGAGATAAAAACAAATCCGGGTTACAAACTAAAACTGAGGGAAACGCATCAAATATAAGAGGAGAACAACGACAATGTCTGTACGAAACTGTCATTATTGTTTTTGTTAATAATCATTCCTGTTCACAAGTTCGAGTGTATGAAAATTGAATTGGTATGTACTTGAAGTGCACATGATGTTTACTACATGTTGACAAAGCCTGTCTAAAGTTTTGATGGAAATATACATTGATATGCATTATAGTTAGGTGTATGAAGATTGAATTGGTCTGTACTTGAGGTACAGTTGATGTGTGAATCGAGTAAAGAAAACCTGTCAAAAGTTTTGATGGTATTTATACATTAATATTCATCATATTTGGGTGTATATAGTTTGAATTGGTCTGTACTGTTGGTGCAGTTGATTTGAACATCAAAGTCAAATATCTGTCAGATGACCACTGTAAATATATATGTGTTAGGTGACCAAGGTAATTATTGTCAATATTTGTGTTAGGGGACCAAACGTACTGTGGATTCATTTGTTTTCGTGGGTATCAATTTTCGTGGATTGCTGAATACTTGCCTATTTGTGGATATTTGATTTCGTGGTTTTGCCAATCTCTGTATACTAAGCCTTTTGGAAATATGTTGTTCGTTGAGCATTTGAATTCGTGGTTCAACTGTTCCCACGAAACCCACGAAAATTGGTATCCAACGAATAATAATAATCCACAGTAACCAAATTAAATATTTGTGTAATGTGACCAGAACATCATTTTAAGATAACCACAGGTAACCATAGTCGGTACAGGTACCCTGGTGGATGTAACACAGACGGATGTAGAACACATTATATAACAGGCAAGTTTGAACACAATATTCAAGCATGATATTGTCTAAATTTGAAATGTGATCAAATGTTTGAAATTATAGTTTATAGATCTTAAAAATTCACAAGGGTGCACACGCTAGATGTCTCGACTTCTTTACTAATCATTTATATTGTGTTGATAGTCCTAAATATAAAGCTTTACTACAACTATCACATAAACTTAACATGATCCAAGACAAGAGTGGACACACTGAAATGTCTCGCCTGTTTTAGTGTTCATAATTGAATTTATGTTGAAAGTAAAAAAAATAAGTTTATATAAGCTTTACATTAATTATTTGTCAATTCCTTGAGATGAACCTGAAAGACTCCCCCACCCTAAAAAAAAACAAACAAAAAACTAAAATTATCTTCAATCTTTGATCAAAATATTGTAAAAAGTCATATTTTCATATTATCTATTTATCTATTTATGTTGCTATGCTAAAATATTTTTTACTTATCTCAATACTTATCTTATTTCATATGTATCAAAAATCAGTAAATGTGATTATGTTGTGCAAACAAAATTTCAAAAGTTCTTCAATCTGTACATATTCAGCCAATTAATCTTTATGAAGGGACTGGAGTGAACTGTATTCTATGTAAAACATTCATGCATGAGTGACCTTATTTTAACATTTTCACACCTTCCAATGTTTTTGTTAATCACGGTTTAGTAATGATCCCTTAAAAGTTTTTATTATTTATTATCATTATTAATGTTATTTAAAGATTTTTATAAAATAATCTATTTCAATGTAAGTAATCAGCAGTTAAATAATAAAATACATTCCATACACCAAATATAGTTGACCTATTACTTATAGCATCTGAGAAGAAGACCAAACAACAGAAACTTAACATTGACCAATGAACCATGAAAATAAGCTCAAGGTCAGATGAAACCTGTCAGACAGACGTGCACACCTTACAATCATTCCATACACCACATATAGTTGACCTATAACTTATAGTATCTGAGAAGAGGACCAAACAAGAGCAACTTAACATTGACCAATGAACCATGAAAATGAGGTCAAGGACAAATGACACCTGCCAGACAGACATGTACACCTTACAATCATTCCATACACCAAATATAGTTGACCTATTGCTTATAGTATTAGAAAAACAGACCAGAACACAAAAACTTAACATTGACCAATGAACCATGAAAATGAGGTCAAGGACAAATGACACCTGCCAGTCAGACATGTACACCTTACAATCATTCCATACACCAAATATAGTTGACCTATTGCTTATAGTATTAGGAAAACAGACCAAAACACAAAAACTTAACATTGACCAATGAACCATGAAAATAGGTCAAGGACAAATGACACCTGCCAGACAGACATGTACACCTTACAATCATTCCATACACCAAATATAGTTGACCAATGGCTTATAGTATTAGAAAAACAGACCAAAACACAAAAACTTAACATTGACCAATGAACCGTGAAAATGAGGTCAAGGTCAGATGAAACCTGCCAGACTGACATGTATCCCTTATAATCATTCCATACACCACATATAGCTGACCTACTGCTTGTAGTATCTGAGAAACGGACCTAATCACGTAACTTTAACCTTGATCACTGATCCATGAAATGAGGCTGAGGTCAGGTGAACCCTGTCTGATGGACATGTAGACGTTGCAAGGAACCCATATACCAAATATAGTTATCCTATTACTCATAATAAGTGAGAAATTTACATAACAAAAAAACTAAACTTTTTTTTCAAGCAGTCGCTGAACCCTGAAAATAAGGTCAAGGACATTGGACATATGACAGACGGAAAGTTCGTAACATAAGGTATTTGCATACAAAGTATGAAGCATCCAGGTCTTCTACCTTCTGAAATATAAAGCTTTATACAAATAGTTTACCCCGCCATCACCGCTGCCGCTGTTTAGTAATACCTATGTCTCCCTTTCTGCGACTTTCGTCGCAGGCGAGACAAAAATGAGGTTAAGGCCATATAAACCAAACAAGAAATACATGCACACCTTTCCATCATATAGTAAGCCTATTGCTTATAGTTTCTAAGAAACAAACTTAACCGTCCTTTAAAAGCAATAACTGCTTTTAGAAGTTTTTCTGATAGTTTTGTTGTGAATGGACAGTGGGTACGGTACATCTCAAGATTTTGAACTTTCTAATTTTTTGATCAATATGTTTTCCAGTTCCCAACAGAACTTGCATTTTTACCTATCTGTTCAAATTTTAGCATGTTTAACATGTTGGTAAGCAGGATCATAGGTAATGGCACTAATGACATATAAAACATTTATGTATAGGTTTATTGCATTTGTTCCATATATTTTCATGGATAGACCTTTTATAACTGACTTTACAGTTTGGGTTTTTTCTCATTGTCACAAGCCATACGATTTTATAATAATATAAATTCAGAAATGTTTTTGCACATTTATGATTGCTTTTGTTGAACAAGTGACAAAATTGTGAGAATAATTATTAAAATTTGATAAATGATGATTATGAATAGCTGTTTCATAATTCAGAATGTGAGTTTTTTTCCAAATAATCAAAGTTTCTGTTTAGAAGCAGTACATTTATTTGCATATCATTATCTCTAAACAGTAACATGGCTTATATAGTACAAAATTTCTCATCAAGATATATATTTATTTACATTTATACTGATAACCTTATTTTTATTTCTTTAAGAGTTTGTTAACACTATTCAACTTCAACCATTTCATTATAGTTAAAATGATCTACTTGAATTTAAATTCAATACACACCACTTTCTTGCAATGATCAATCAATATATACTGATATAAAAGACATCATGACCTTGCAGACGTTTGGAGATTCTTATCTATGGAATGAGAGCAATTTTAAAAAAAATTACATGAATGTCTCATTTCTCATTGTGGTCACTTTATTTGTAAATACGTTTCTAATTCATTTAGTGTTGTAGCAAATAAATATTGTACATAATTCAATAAAAAAAATAAACAAAAGATTCCATGAACAATAATGCCTAAAAGCAGACAAAATACAAAGTTGTAAAAATTATTATGATGTAACAAAATAAAAGCTTATATACAAATTATTAACACTGAATCATATGTAATATTCTAGACTGGCCATGCATAAAACTGAACAAATATCTGTTCAAAAATACCATGTAGAGTGAAACTAAAAATAAACAAATGACAAATAAATTATCAAAATCATTTTATGAGAAATATACTTTTAGAAATTTAATAAAAATTTTGAACTTAAAACGCAGAGTCAGTGAATGTAATGTTAAATGGCAGAAAAACTAAGTCCATTTATAAATAAAGTACAAGGATTTCATATTTTAAATTTACTTCCTGATACTTCATTTTGTATCTTATGAGCATACTTCATTTTGTATCTTATGAGCATAAACAAGCTTCTGTCCAAGTAGAAATCTAGGATAGTTTAAGAAAGATAATAAAACTTCAATAAATTGCTTTGCTGAGAGCAGCTGGATACAACCGCAGAGGTCCAACCCTGAACAGTTGGGGCAAAAGGGACACAATATTCGCGCTCGATACAGGTGTGAATTTAGACTGTAATTAAATATTTGACATATTATAGGTTTCTGAATAAATGTAGTCAAAGAACTTGAAATTGGTTTTATGAATTAAATTTATATTCAATTTAAGATTTCTTGTGCAATACACTTGTGCTGTTGCGCAATACTTAGTAAATCTGTTGTCAGACTATAAACAAACAATAACTTTACAATGTTATATCAGAAATTTATAAAAAACTAAAGGGAGGTTATCTTAATAGATATGAATCAGTCTTCAAAGTTTAATGAAAACTGCTCTAAGTACTTTAAGGATATTGTCTAAAAACTTGAAAATTACCCCTTTTTTATGAATAAAATCTTATAACTGTGAAACGTTAAATCTTAAATTCATAAAAATCAAAAGGGAGCTTACAACAATGGATATAAACAATTTACTAAAGTTTCATAAAAAATGCTAAAAGCATTTTTGACTTATTATCCGAAAACTGGAAAATCCGTCTTTTTGTAATGAATAAAACCCCATAAATCGAAAAAGTATGGTCTAAAATTTATAAAAATCAAAAGGGAGCTTATGTCGATAGAATAAATAATTCACCAAAGTTTCTTGCAAATTGGTGAAATTGTTTATGGGTTATTGTCCGAAAACTGGAAAATCCCCCCTTTTTTTATGAATAAAACCCCAAAACTTGGAAATGGTAAATCCGTATTTATAAAAAACAAAAGGGCGCTCACCAAAGTTTCATGCATATTGGTTAAAGCGTTTTTGAGCTTATGTCGGACATGTTGACAACGGATGGACAGATGGATGGACAGACGATCAACAGTATACAATAATACGTACTTAAACTTGCGTATAAAAAGTCATAAGGTCTTTCGAGATAAAAGTGGAATTACTATATTTAAGGTGATATTTCTTTGTTAGGTTATGTAAGAGGGTGAGAGTGAGTTGCTTATTTGATTTTTTTTCACATACACACATTAATTGCACGGTTAAACTTAGAATAAGCACATCATGATGAAAGAAAAGATTTTAAAAGTCTGCTAAATATATTTATGTTGTCAAAACGCTCCAGATTACACATATATGACTTCTTATGAGAAACACAATTTCTATAACTTGACAATCAAATTCAAATAATAAAACCACCTGAAAAGTTTCAATAAATTAAATTAAGATTTGTCATGTGTTCAATCAAACAAAAGCCTTAAAATAAGATGTACTGCAAAGGAAGCATAAAAAATGCAGAACCATATCACAATAGGTTGATATTTAAAAGTATGTTTTAACCATCTGTAATCTTAAATTCACAATCAAAATAATTTGACTCAGTAAATGTGTGATCCAATAGTCGTAAATAAATAAATCTCAAATGCAAGTAGCTCAAAATTCATTCGATAGGAATACACATGTAAAAATATAAATATATCTTTAAATTAACACAGAGACTGAAGTATTGATTTATGCTAAAATAAGACCTCACCTAATATGCCTAACACACTTACATTGATTTTTAAAAGTTGCTGCCTGTTAATTTAAACCTACAATCATTCTTCAGATTATATGAGAATTGGTTACAGTCAACTTCAGTCATCATAAGAAGTGTTGATAGACAGACATTGGTATACCAATTTATGTCCCATCTTCGACAGGCGTATAGAAAAATGGTTTTTATGTTTTACACATTCAAGTTGTACCATCATTTTCACCTTGAATCAGTTTCCTGAACAATTCAGCAACTCTCATAGGGTTCACTGTGCTGTTTGTTTTTTCCTGTGCTGGCTTTCTGGCAGCAGTATATTTACATGTGATCTCATTCTTATATTTTTCAAGAACACCATGCTTTTGCAGCCAATTCTGAAAACCAGACTTTTTTGAAGCATCTCCTTGAAACTCACAAGGAAATTTTTCAAAATTCAATGCCATCCAAACAGAGAGAATTGCCCAATAATTCACACCATCCTTGTCAAAAATTTTAATTGGGTGATCTTGCACGAGTAAAATATCCTTTTCAACATTGTAAAAATTGATGTAAATATACTTAGGGGAAACAAAAAAAGATGGAATCAAATGACTTCTTAAACCTTTGTTGAGTTTTACTGCCAAAAATGAATTTAAAATTGTCTGACTTATTGCCTGTACATAATCTTGAGTTTCACGAAGATCTGAAGTAACTGAACCCTCTATATCTGTTTTCACCTCTGCCAGACTATACCAAAGATCTATATCTTCATCCATCTTTGCTCTTTTTGATGCAGGTTCACCTTGACCTTCCTCATCATCATGTTCATCAACAGCAATTTTAATGATTTCTTGCATAGAACCATTATCTCCTTTAACAACAATATCTGCCCTTCCATGCCACATATCTACACAACCTGGAAAAAAGACTGCTATTATTCAGAGTATATATACTGCAACTAAGTATAAAATTCAAATAAAAGAATAAGAAACTCCTGAATTCTTAACAAATGGCTCCAGGACACTTAGCTTAAATGAATGGGGAATTTGTCCATGGGTCACAGATGATGCCCCCTCTAGCCTTTAACATCATAAAGGACCAAAACTCAAGAACTGTAAAAGTTACACTACCCAAATTTGTACTTGATCTGAATTTTGTGGTAATAAGCATTGTTTATATGTTACATAACATTTAGTTGAAGTAAACTTAAGTCAGCGAACAGAAACGAAAAATTGCTTAATTTTTCCATTTATAAAGGGGCATAATTCTAGAACAGTACAAGTGATTCCACCAAAATTCAAACTTGATCTGTGTTTTGTGGTAATTAGCATTGTGCATAAGTTTTGTAACATTTGGCTGCGGCAAACTAAAAGAGAAAAAAAAAACATAGAACACAACAAAAATTCAAATTGATCTGTGTTTTGTGGTAATAAGCATTGTGTCAAAGATTAATAACATTTGGTTGAGGTAAACTCAAGTTAGAGAACGGAAACAAAAAATTCAGCAAATTTTCCATTGGTAAACATGGTAAAAGGGCATAACTCTAGAACAGTAAACGTGACGCCACCAAAACTCAAACTTTCGTGTTTTGTGGTAATAATAATTAAGGATAAGATTCATAACATATGGTTGAGGCAAACTAAAGTTCAAGAACGGAAACGAAAATTTCAGCAATTTTTCCATTTGTAAAGGTCAAAACTGTAGAACCGCAAAAGCCAAAATTCAAACTCAATCTGTGTTTTGTGGTAATAAGCATTTTGTATAAGTTTCATAACATTTGGTTGAGGCAAACTAAGGTTAGAGGATGGAAACATAAATTCAGCAATTTTTCCATTTGAAAAGGGGCATAACTCTTGAATGATAAAAGTGATACCACCAAAATTTGAACTTGATCTGTGTGTTGTGGTAATAACCTTTATGGGTACGTTTCATAACATTTGGTTGAGGCAAACTAAAGTTAGAGAATGGAAACCAATTTCGGTAATTATGGACCTACGTACATTCAGATGGTCAAGGGTAAAACTTAACGCCCTTCCCCTTAGGCGGGGACATAAAAAGAAGTGATCAACAATCTGTAATGAAGCATTTAATTTTGACATTTAACAGTTGATATTGGATTTGAACTAAAATAGCCTTTTTATATGAGTAAGGTAAATTATTGGTTTTGAAAAGAAATAAAGGTGCCCTCTACAACTTCAATAATCATTATGACAGAATGTAAACAAAATAACTTGTAGTCAAGTTTGTCTATTATTTCTTTCTTACAGTACAAGTGAATGGTTTAGCGCTATAAAACCAGGTTCAATCCACCATTTTCTACATTAGAAAATGCCTGTACCAAGTTAGGAATATGACAGTTTTCCATTCGTTTGAAGTGTTTTATCATTTGATTTTGTCATTTGATTAGGGACTTTCCATTTTGAATTTTCCTCTGAGTTCAGTATTTTTTTATTTTTTTTTTTATTATCTCCACCTCCACCAAATGTCCACATAGCAATTCTAATTCTGGAGTGAAAACAACCGATAATACAACAAAAGATGCACAACTAAGAATATACTTTCCCATTTCCATTCTCAATTTTATTCAAATATTTACCAAAATTTGTGTTGTCTGCTTTTATGTTAGCCTTTTTACAGAATGGACATTCAACTTTTAAAGGATCATCATTTGGATCTGTACTAGTACCAACAGTAGGAAATGTATCACTGGAATTTTTCCTTGGATTCCGGTTAGTACGATCCACAAACACTTTTCCCTCAGATAAGAGAGGAGAGAAAAGATGACAGGCCAAAACTGCTTGAATAGTTGCTTCATCCTTCTTATTAACCATTTCTAGGAGACACTGTGCATGTTTTCTACCTTTAAAAAAACAGAAACATAATAAAGTCCATATGTCATGTTTAAATTGTTCTGTCATTCAAAAAAAAACATGGTAACTAAACATTTTGAGAATTTTTCATTAACCACAATATAATCTCAGCATGTACTTTAAACATGTTAAAGATCTTAAAATTTAAAAAAATTCTACAACATGACAAAGTTCTGTAATTGATTGACTAATGTGTTAATGTCCAAGGACAAATATTACATCAATATCATCTTTGTCATGTTTATCAATATGAAAATAAACTTTTTGACAAATTTTTGTTTAACATGTACATGATGGATTGATCACAAGGTACAAATGTATAACATGTATACAATCTACTTCAGATATAAAAGCATGTATATGCTGAATGTTTGACCTGCTTTACTTAAGAATTGAATGCTTTTTTTTGTAAATTCAATGGGGTGTAAAAGCATTGACCGAAGTACATTTTGTATGAAGCGTGGAAGCGCTTCATTCTAAAAATAAGCGCACATTCAACGCTTTTACAACCCTATGAAATTACAAAAAGAAGCATTCAATACTAATATACATGTAATTACATTTTTAGCTAGAATCATGAGAACACAATTTCTATCAAGTTTTAATTTAATTTACCTGTGCACCTTATTTTGGGACCTCATGTCATCATGAATATTAAATTTCATTTAAGAATTGAATGCTCCTTTTTGTAACTTCATTGGGGTGTAAAAGCGTTGACCGAAGTACATCTTGTATGAAGCGCAGAAGCGCTTCATTCTAAAAATGTGTACACGGTCAACGCTTTTACAACCCTATGAAGTTACAAAAAGAAGCATTCAATACTTATAATCACATTTTAGCTATGATCATTAAAAGACGATTTTTATCAAGTTTTTATTTAATTTACCTGTGCACTTTATTATGGGACCTCGTGTCATCATGAATGATAAATTTTATTGTGTAATGAAGTTGATTAAAGAATAACGCGAGATTGCAGTGTAGCCAATCAGAATAACGTATCATAATGAAACATACATGTACATCTAATGTAATTATTGTGTTATGAATGTCAATTTCAGAAGGATGCAAGATTACTGTTAGCCAATCAAAATAACGTAATATAACGAAACATACATGGAATGTAATTATTGAGATGATTGAATTTATATAGATTTTAAAGTCTGAATATAAAGGTTTTATTACAAGTTTCACAAATAACTTAAAATGATCATTGATCCAAGGTCATGATCAGATGAACAATACCAGTCAAGGTTGGCAAAAAAGCGGTCAATACTAGTATTGACCATCCCGGTGGTAAATACCGGTAAATACCGGGAAATACTGGCAAATACTGGTCAATTGAAATTTTAATAAACATTAATACTATAATAAAATGCTCCGCAGGGCGCAGCTTGATACGACCGCAGAGGTCAAACCCTGAACAGTTGGAGCAAGTATGGACACAACATTCAAGCTTGATACAGCTCTGAATTTGGATTGTGATTAAATAATCGACACAGCATAGGTTACTGACACAGAATGAATGTGGTCTAAGAACTTAAAAATTTTAAATTGGACATTCACCTATTATGGTCCAATATCCAAAATCTAAATACATGGTTAGATTCAGCATATCAAAGAACCCCAAGAATTCAATTTTTGATGAAATCAAACAAAGTTTAATTTAGGACCCTTTTGACCTCAATGTGGACAAAATTAATAACGGGGCCCAAAAATCTAAAATCTAAATACATGGTTAGATTCAGCATATCAAAGAACCCCATATATTCAATTTTTGTTGAAATCAAACAAAGTTTAATTTTGGACCCAGATTTGGACCAACTTGAAAACTGGGCCCATAATCAAAAATCTAAATACATGTTTAGATTCAGCATATCAAAGAACCCTATGAATTCAATTTTTGTTAAAATCAAACTAAGTTTAATTTTGGACCCTTTGGACCTTAATGTAGACCAATTTGAAAAGGGAACCAAAAATTAAGAATCTAAATACACGGTTAGATTCGGCATATCAAAGAACCCCAATAATTCAATTTTTGATGAAATCAAACAAAGTTTAATTTTGGACCCTTTGGACCTCAATGTGGACCAATTTAAAAACGGGGCCCCAAATCCAAAAAACTTAATACACCGTTAGACTCAGCATATTAAAGAACCCCAAGAATTTAAGAATAAAACCCCATTGAAATTGGTCAAGAAATAAGCAATTTATACGAAGTATCTTCTTTTGCACAATACTGTGCAATTGAATATTTCTTGCTATTGCGCAATACTGTACAATTGACAATTTCTTGCTATTGCGCAATATTGTGCTATTGGATATTTCTTGCTATTGCGCAATACTGTGCAATTGAAGATTTCTTGCTATTGCGCAATACTGTGCAATGGAAGATTTCTTGCTATTGTGTAATACTGTGCAATTGAAAATTTCTTGCTATTGCACAATACTTATTATATAATAATTTACACATCCTGTTTGGTGTGTATCTCCTACCATATCATTATTATTTGCTTTTAAATATAAATCAGAAATAACCAACTTAAAATGGAAAATTTTAAAAGAAAAATAAATGAAAAAAAAAAAATCTCCCCCCAAATTTTTTGAAACCCCTTATGATTCATCACCCCCAAACTCGATCCCAGCCTTCTCTTTGTGGTATGGTACCTTGCAGTACAATTTCAGAGAGATCCATACACTTGAACACAAGTTATTGTCCTGAAACTAGAAAAATGCTTGTTTGTTTCCCCTTTTTGGCCCCTAATTCCTAAAATTTTGAGGCAATTACCCCCAAAATCAATCCCAGCCTTCCCTTTGTGGTATGGTACCTTACAGTAAAATTTCAGAGAGATCCATACACTTGAACACAAGTAATTGTCTGGAAAATAGAAAAATGCTATTTTTTGCCCCTTTTTAGCCCCTTATTCCTAAACGTTTTGGGCAATTACCCCCAAACTCAATTCCAGCTTTCCCTTTGTGATATGGAACCTTGTAGTTCAATTTCAGAAAGATCCATACACTTACACACAAGTTATTATCATGAAACTAGAAAAATGCTTGTTTTTTGCCCCTTTTTTGGCCCCTAATTCCTAAAATTTTGAGGCAATTACCCCCAAAATCAATCCCAGCATTCCCTTTGTGATATGGAACCTTGTGGTACAATGTCAGAGAGATCCATACATTAACACACAAGTTATGTCTGGAAGTTACAAAAATGCTTATTTTTGGCCCCTAATTCCTTAACTGTTGGTACCATAACCCCCAAAATCAATCCCAACCTTCCTTTAGTGGTATTATTGAACCTTATGGTAAAATTTCACGGAGATCCATTCACTTAAACTAAAGTTAGAGTGTGAAAACCAATGTGTTTTCGGACGACGACGACAACGACAACGCCAACGTCATACCAATATACAACCAGAAAAAATTTTAATTTTTGCGGTCGTATAAAAACCAGTCTTTTTGAAGTTTTTGAATATATAAGGGAAGATCCTTGAAATAATGTCTCATTATAAGATAAATTCATAGTGTAGTTTATGGAATTGTTTATGAACATATATATATGCATGGTTAAATGAAGATTTATCAAATATTAATCATACAAAGGACATATTTCTTGGCACCACTAAAAAGAGACTATGACAGCTTGTTTTCTTAACAGTAATTTCATCAAGTGTAATAAAAAAACCATGAAAAGTTGTTTTATATATAATATGTAATTTAGTTTAAGAAAAAAACAAAAATGGTTTAAAAAATTATTCTTTTCTTAACAAAAGAAAAAGTTCTCGCAAAACTGAATTGTGAATTTCTGTCTTGTGACATTTTGCCCTACCTACAATTACTGTTAGTCATAAAAATATTAAAAAGTTCCAAGTCAATATTAGACTTTTCTTTAATGTTGTCTTTTCTTATATAAATTGAAATTCCGCATGAACACACTATTGACAGTGATTATCAGAATAAAATATTAGTGAATAGGATAAATAAGGCATATTAAAGATCCTTCAAACTTCTATTTTCTGCATTTAGAAGATTTTTATCATTCTGTTGAAAAGTCAGGAATTAATTTATTGTTTTAAACAGTCTTCAAAAATAACTTTTATGATTTAGAATATAGCAAAGTGCTCTCGACCAATGAAAGTGTAGAATTTGGTGTTCCTTAATTGTGAAGAATGAATGTAAATCATGTTCTTAGTAAGGGATTATCCTTTTGTTTAGGCCTATTTACAGTTCAAAACAAAGAATTTGTATAAATGAGTTACAACTGCCTGAAGCACATTTATTAGGATTATTGATTTAAAGTTGAATTTTGAAACAAACAAAAATGATCAAAATAAGTTTGAAGTTTACTTGTGCAGTACAATTGATACCGTTTGTGTTATCATGTGAATACTTAGAACTTTCAAATTACAAAAAAAAAAAGCAATATTAAGAAGAAAAAGTAAAAAAACTTATAAAATCAAATATAACCTAAATCTTTAGCAACATGTATTACGCTTATCAAAAGTCAGATAACTGTATTCGCAGTTAGTAAGAATAGTCATTTCCAAATACCGGTACATTATTTACTTTTGAATTTCCTATAAAAAGCAATTCCTTTCAAAATTTAAAATTTAGTTAATTAAGTAGTATTTAATGTCAAGAGCTGGAATAAAATTGGCTTTGGAATACAATTTAGTTGTAACTCTGATTTTGAATTTATCTAATTGAACTGTAGATAAACAAAAAGATAATTCCTCACTAAAATATTACATAATTTACACTCATACTCACAATTAGGAAACTTATACAATTTCTACAATTTCATTGTAACGTTGTGTCATCTAATGTCAAAAACACAATATATTAAAATTTCCCAAATTAAAAGTAAATCCTTACATCACTAAGACCAATACATAAATGAAATGCCTAAAAGGGAAGTCATCCATTAATTATAAACATTTCACGGACAATGAAACAAATTCTTGAATAAAACCAATCAAGAGATCATTTGAGCCTTGAGCACTTTACAATATTCTAAGTTTGTAAGAGAATGATAATCCCTTTCATCATGATAAGTACTCGCTAACGCTCGTACTTAATCATGAAGAAAGGGACTATCATTCTCTTACATATACTTGTTTCCTGTTTTGTCAACATTTATCAGCATGATTAGGGGGCAGTTTTTATAGTAATTAAACTTTTGACACCGGCTAGCAATATAATAGGTAATGCTCTGATAATCCAGTCACCTGTAATTCTATTTACCTGTCAAAATCAAACCTTTTCAAGAAAAAATATCTTGATTAAAAATGTTGAAATAATTGATAGAGCAATTTTATATATACCTAAAGTATGTAATATCATCATTACCTTTAAGAACTAAATTAGTCATTATTCATGTTAATAGTTAATAAAACATACCAATATCATTCTTTTTTAAAAACTTAATCATGCCAAAGGAATTAATTTGAAATAATTTTCTCAATCAACCAATATTTTACTAAAAATTGATAGTTAAGCCTTTCAAAAGAACCATAAAAATTTCAATTGACCAGTATTTGCCAGTATTGACCACTTAAGGAGTATTGACCGGGGCGGTAGAATACCGGTAAATACCTCTGGTAAATACAGGGGGCGGTATTTACCGCCCAACCTTGATACCAGTTATACAATCATTCCATACACTAAATATAGTAACAAGGAATTATTTAAATCTGGAATAATTTTGAATTCTGGAAAATTGATAAGAAATGCTTGATGAAAACTAAAATGAATCCCAAAATTCTACTTGTGGTATTATACATAGTGGTACAATTCTCAGAGCAATCAAAATACTTATACACAAGTTATTATCCTGAAACTAGATAAAGGCTTGTTATGGGCTTCTAATTCCTAAACGGTTGGGACAATCATCCCCAAAATCAATCCCAACCTTTTTTTGGTGGTATTGAACCTTCTTAAATAATTTCATATATAGTTATCAGGTTATCCAATCACTCAAACTTAAGTTATTTTCCAGACACCAAATGTGTCTTCGGACGATGACGCAGACGCATACAACGACCACTTCATAGCATTATACAACCCAAAAAAATTATAGACCGTAAAACTGGGGTCAAAAATCTAATTTGGCATTTAAATTAGAACGATCCTATCATAGTGAAATTGTGTACTAAGTTTCAAGTTGATTGGACTTCAACTTCATCAAAAACTACCTTGACCAAAAACTTCAACCAAAAACTTTAACCTGAAACTCACATTTTCATTTTCTATGTTCAGGGGACTGTGAAATTGGGTTAAAAAATCTTATTTGGCATTTAAATTAGAAAGATCATATCATAAGGAACATGTGTACTAAGTTTCAAGTTGATTGGACTTCAACTTCATCAAAAACTACAATGTACCTCCACCAAAAACTAAAACCTGTAGCGGGACAGACGGACGAACCGACGGACGAACAGATGCACATTCCAGAAAACATAATGCCCCTCAACTATCGTAGGTGTATTGAAGAGGGGCATAAAAAGGCAAATGGTCGAGTCGATACCTGTCATTCGTAACTCCCCTTGAATCATATTTCTGGATAACTGGACAATACATGTACACCTGACGCCAATGCCAGAAAAGATGTGACACTTGACCTATAAAAAGCACCAATATTGCAAGACCATGTATATATAAAATGACATCAATGTATATATAGTGAGGGTACCCAAATTACACCTATTTAATTTTAGACTGTTTTTCCACCTACATGTACCATTCATGCCATTATTTATGATCCAGATAAAAGTTTCCATTCTCTGTTTATATTGTATATGTATCATTATTTACTAAACAATTTCACTGATTTAATTTTGAATCCATATTGAATAACAGAAAAATGCATTGAACCAACCTTCATCATGTTCAAAAGATCCATGATTCTGTATCGAGCAGTACACACACGTACATGTAGCAAGGGGGGTTGGAGGGGTTCGTACACCCCCCCTGAAAACAAATCAGCACTATTAAAGTTGACGTTCTGTTTGAATTGTACATGTAACTGTTTAAGTTGAGTATAATTGCTTCGCAAGTCCATGTACCCCCACCCCCCCCCCCCCCCCCCCCCCCCCCCCTCCTTTTGGAAATTCCTGGCTACTGGCCTGAAACCTAAATTTCGTCCATGCTTATATTCACATGCGTAAAAATCAAATAAGAGATGTTTTGTTATATTTCTTCAAATATTTGGCCTGAAACCTAAATTTCGTCCATGCTTAAATTCACATCCGTAAAAATCAAATAAGAGATGTTTTTTTATAATTCTTCAAATATTTAGAACAATCTGAATTAGTCCATGCTTGTTGCTCATTTTTTTTAAGATGACTTTTTGTGGACGTTTCATCTCTCTTCAATGTATATACATGTAATATATCAGTGATTGATCTGTGGTGAGTATACTTCGAAGTGATAGTAAATAGCAAATACAAGTTATCGAGAAAAATTGGAAAAAAGGGGGAGGGTTAAAAAAAAATATTCCTGTCCCTAAGTACCTAATGACTTATGGTCCCTAAGAAAACTTGTAAAATTTTTGCTTCTAAATAGGTGCAATTTGAGTACTTGGTGCACATTTGGGTAAGTACTGAGTCTTTATTTATAGACTATTCTCACATGACATCCTTATTACAGTACATTTATTATGCTTTGTAAACATAGCTGTAATTTAATGAGCATGATGAGCACAGGCACTTGTTTCTGTCTATGTGAGGTTTACTATCCACACCCGTAGGAAAGGGGTGTGGATAGTAAACCTCACATTGACAGAAACAAGTGCCTGTGATGATGAGCAAAAAATACATGTATGTTTGACACATGCACAAAAACCTACTGTTTATTATATAAAGTGCTTTTCATTAATGAAATTATCATTATTTTCATTGTTATCCTGATAAAATATATATATTTGAGCAGCTTACATAAACTTTATTATGAATTGTTTATCAAACAACATATATCATGTATATTTGTCCTGCTATTAGTTTTTAAAATAATCACACAATTATCAAACATGATAATGTTTTGTACAGTACATGTACATACTCCATGACAAGGAAAAAAGAACAGCCAAACATTTTTAAGGTACTTAAGGTTCATGTGGACCCTTTGGCTAAAATGGCTGTGTTTTCACCTCAAAATTTACTCTGATTGCGGAGACAAACCTGTGCATCTGGAAAAGTTTTAAGGCATAGCATGCCCTAGATAAATAAAATTTAACTGCATTGTATGATTTAGAAAATTGAAAACTTAACAGGATTTTGCATTGCACTTTTTTCGTCCCTGCAGAAGATGATAAAATTAACAAACAGTTGAGTTTCACTTGATTAGGGACTTTCCATTATGAATTTTCCTCGTAGTTCAGTATTTTTGTGATTTTACTTTTCCTTTTTTGATATGGTACACCCAGGTACACAGTTTAAATCACCAATTATTGTCAGGTATCTATTGTCCATGTCATTTATTACAGCTCACTTCAATTATTACCTGTGGGGAAGTTCTCAAACCTCTTTTACTTTAAGATGTATGAAAGGTTTTTACATGCAGAGGCGGATTTAGGAGGGAGGCCAAAGGCCCCCCTTTTTTGGGAAACATTTTGGTTGATTATATAGGGAATCACTGAAGCATGACGGGAGCGGGCCCCCTCTTAGGCAGTCAGTGGGCCCCCACTTATGAAAATTTCTGGATCCGCCACTGACATGATATATGTATCATGTATATATCTAAAATGTAACAATAATCAAACACTTATATCATAGGCAATAACTAAATGAGTATGAAGTTTTTATACAGATTTATTCTTCATTTTCTTATTTGCACAATCATTAACTAAATAAATTTAACAAAGAAACAGTGACATTACCATATAACAAATTGGATACTTAAATATGCTATGCAGAAACTTATCAAGTTAGTACACGTGAATACCAATTAGAAACATGTGTGATTTTGTATAACTTTGTCAAGCAAACATTTTTTATCACTATGCCTGTCTTTATCTCCGCTCCTTTACAAAAACTATTTCCCTTTTCGTTGATCATTCTCTATTCGGTTATATTTTTTAAAACTATGCCACTCTATCTCCGCTCCTTTACAATGACTATTTCCCCTGTCGTCCTAATTCTTATAAAGATAGGGACATTAGACATAGAAGGGGCTCTCTTATCTTCAATAAATTAATATTGATAGTGACTATAAGTGCTGCATTACTATATGTATCTGCATGCTTGCCAATCGACAAAAGCTTGTATTAGCGTGAAGAAATTTTTTTTAACAGTAACTGTAATCCCCGCATGATGGGAGTTTTAAATGCACGGTCGGTCGGTAAATCCCTAATTCCTTATGTTCTTTGTGGTTTATAGATATCATGTGACTTTTTAGATTCAATGGGCATGCTGACAAGATGGCAATATGTCGAGAACAGATAGTGAATTTCAAAAATCGATTTTGATCTCTTTACATAGAGAATAAAAGTTTTTTTTATTTCTGAACATGTGTTTTTTTTTATGCTTTAAGAACAAAATATCAATTTTTCATTTTTTGGCGGAGTTTCCCTTTAGTACGCTTCGATCTATTGGAATACTGTATTTGTCTTATTAAAATCGAAATAATTCCTTCATGTCATGCTCTATACCCATTTTAACATGGGTACACCTGTATAGAGCATGACATGAAGGAATTATTTCTTAATTAGTAAATATATGTTCCTGATACAATATAAATATATATATATGAACCACTACTTACCGTCATCCAAGTTTTTAACGAATTCTACAAGACTTTCTACTGCTTTCCTTTGTCGAACATCTACGATAGATTTGACATCTCCGTTTGCATTCATTAGCACTGCTGATGTCCCCTGATAAATATCGCACAACGAGTCTCCAACATACAGATTATCTTGGAGTTTTTCTGATAAAATATCTAATGCTAAAATTACATTTTTAGAAAATGATTTATTTAAATTAGCATTGCAATATGTTACTCCAAGATATATAAATGGCTTATCCCAAACATCGCCATACGGAACTCGTTGACGTTTCTGTTTGAGCAAAGGATTCATTTCATGCAGTGGTCTATTTATCTGACATATTGTTTACAACTGAACAGGCATGCGTGGGAACAATGTCGGTCTCAGTTAAACAAAGTATGACAAATCGCCCCAATGCTAAAACGCCCAGCTCTCAATCTACTCGCCCCAATTTTTCCCACTGATAAAAAAAGAGATTATTCTCGCTGAAAATACTTTTTGTAAACAATATACTCTAGCATATCATGATCAAACAAGTGAATAATCTATGTTTAAAAGAATGCAGGACAGAAAGTCACAGGACACAAAGTCACAGACATAAAGTCACAGGACAAGTCACAATTCAGTTTTGAGATTATTTTTCTTTGAAAAAGAAAACACTGATTTTAAAAATGTTTTTTTTTTATTTTTTCTTGAACTATTTTATATAGAACAACTCTATAATTAAAATTTATTTAATAAATATCAATAATAATCGAATAATTGTTGGATCTTCAAAGCTACTCATAGCCTCTGTTTATTTACCATGTAAAGGATCACCATCTGACTGAAAAGATACTGAATCAAGCAAAACTTTATACCAGTTTAAAATATTTATCATTGATATATAAACCAGGACGTTGTCATCCTATTGCAAATACAAACACTATGAATTCAAGGGAAATTATTAGAATTCCTACAAAATTGAAAATAGCTACTGGAAGTTACATTCTGCAAACAGTTAGAGCCAAGTTTATAAATAATTCAGAACTGTCTATATGTAAATTGTGTAATGAAACAGAAGAAACTTTACCACATTTTTTATTAACGTGTAAAAGTCTAGAAAATTTCAGAAAATCGATTTTGGAAGATTTAATTAATTCCTGTAGTAAAGAGTTAGCTGTTTTTAATATGAAAGATGAACAATTTGACATTTTACAACTGATTATAGATCCTTTTGCTTACATGGCAATGTTAAGAAATGAAAAAGTTTTTAAAGTGATACAGAACATTATAGATCCAAAATGTAGACGATTATGTTTCAATCTCCATTGTGAAAGGTATAGACTATTGCAATTAGATGATATAAAGAAAAAGAAGAGAAAGTACTAGATAATAACTTTATATGAACCCTAAGTGACGATTGGTTGTCTACTCTTAAACAGTGATATCTTTAGATAAATATTTTAGATTTTAAAGTATTTAATGAGTTGATGCTGCTTATATTGACGTTAAGCCCAATTTTATCGTCAAGAATATGATGTACAATGTAAATAGTGTACAGTGATATTGGTGGAAGATATTTTTATTCATGTTGTGAACTCCATTACTCGGAAGAGGTGTGCCTACATTGGCAGAATATATATTACAGATTACAGATTACAGATTACAGTTATGAAAACAAAGTGTCAAGGTGGCTTGGTACTTAAATGGCTTCGTGGTGCCAAGAAATACATCATTTCAATGATTAAAATTAAAATAAATTTCATTTATCAAGGCTTATGAACAATTTACTATACTTAAAAATGAATATATGTAATAAAAATAAAATATTTCAAGATCTTTCTCGTATTTATTCAAATAATTGTCAAGAAATCATTTGTGACTTTTTTTCCTGTGACTTTTTGTCCTATCAAATTTGTGACTTTATGTCCTGTGACTTTTTGTCCTGTGACTTTCTGTCCGTTTACCAAGGATACCGTTTAAAATTACATACTGTAAAGAAAATCTCTAGGTCAGATGAACCCTGCCAGATTGACATTTACACCTTACAATCAGTACATGCTTAAAATACAGTTGACCTATCGCAAATAGTATTTAAGTAACAAACTTAAGCAGGAAAACTTAAGATTGACTAATGAACTATGAAAATAAGTTCTTGGTCCAATGATAATTGCCAGACAGACATATATTACATTCACAAGGGACCAGTGTTATATATGGTGTACTACACCCTCCAATGTTACATTCACAAGGGACCAGAACTATATATGGTGTACTACACCCTCCAACGTTACACTCACAAGGGACCAGTGTTATATATGGTGTACTACACCCTCCAACGTTACATTCACAAGGGACCAGTGTTATATATGGTGTACTACACCCTCCAACGTTACATTCACAAGGGACCAGTGTTATATATGGTGTACTACACCCTCCAACGTTACATTCACAAGGGACCAGTGTTATATATGGTGTACTACACCCTCCAACGTTACATTCAGAAGGGACCAGTGTTATATATGGTGTACTACACCCTCCAACGTTACATTCACCAGAGACATGTGTTATATAAGGTGCACTACACCCTACCATATAACATTCACAAGGGACCAGTGTTATATATGGTGTACTACATCCTCCAACGTTACATTCACCAGCGACATGTGTTATATAAGATGACTACACCCTCCAACGTTACATTCACAAGGGACCAGAATTATATATGGTGTACTACACACTCCAACGTTACATTCACAAGGTACCAGTGTTATATGGTGTTTTACACCCGCCGACGTTACATTCACAAGGGACCAGTGTTATGTATGGTGTACTACACCTCTAACGTTGCATTTACAAGGGACCAGTGTTATATGGTGTTCTACACCCGCCGACGTTACATTCACAAGGGACCAGTGTTATATATGGTGCACTACACCCGCCAACGTTAAATTCACAAGGGACCAGTGTTATATATGGTGTACTACACCCACCAAAGTTACAATCACAAGGGACCAGTGTTATATATGGTGTACTACACCCGCCAACGTTACCTTCACAAGGGACCAGTGTTATATACGGTGTCCTGCACCCTCCAACGTGACCTTCACAAGGGACCAGTAATATATATGGTGTACTACACCTCTAACGTTGCATTTACAAGGGACCAGTGTTATATATGGTGTTCTACACCCGCCGACGTTACATTCACAAGGGACCAGTATTATATATGGTGCACTACACCCGCCAACGTTAAATTCACAAGGGACCAGTGTTATATATGGTGTACTACACCCACCAACGTTACAATCACAAGGGACCAGTGTTATATATGGTGTACTACACCCGCCAACGTTACATTCACAAGGGACTAGTGTTATATATGGTGTACTACACCCTCCAACGTTACCTTCACAAGGGACCAGTGTTATATATGGTGTACTAATCCTCAAACGTTACATTCACCAGAGACATGTCTTATATATGGTGTACTACACCCTCCAACGTTACATTTAACAAGGGACCAGTGTTATATATGGTGTACTACACCCGCCAACGTTACCTTCACAAGGGACCAGTGTTATATATGGTGTCCTGCACCCTCCAACGTGACCTTCACAAGGGACCAGTGTTATATATGGTGTACTACATCCTCCAACGTTACATTCACAAGGGACCAGTGTTATATATGGTGTACACCCGCCAACATTACATTCACAAGGGACCTGTATTATATATGGTGTACCAAACCCTTATGTTACATTCACCAGAGACATGTGTTATATAAGGTGCACTACACTCTACCATGTTACATTCACAAGGGACCAGTGTTATATATGGTGCACTACACCCGCCAGCGTTACATTCACAAGGGACCTGTGTTAAATACGGTGCACTTTACCGTCCAATGCTACATTCACAAAGGACCTGTTATAAATGATGTACTACACATGCAACGTTACATTCACCAGAGACCTGTGTTATATATGGTATACTGCACCCTGCAACATCACATTCACAAGGGACCAGTGTTATATATGGTGTACTACACCTCCTATGTTACATTCACCAGAGACATGTGTTGTATATGGTGTACTTCAGCCTCCAACGTTACATTCACAAGGGACAAGTGTTATATATGGTGTACTACACCCTCCAACGTTACATTCACAAGGGACCAGTGTTATATATGGTGTACTACACCCTCCAATGTTTCCTTCACAAGGAACCAGTGTTATATATGGTGTACTACACTCTCCAACGTTACATTCACAAGGGACCAGTGTTATATATGGTGTACTACACCCTCCAACGTTACATTCACAAGGGACCAGTGTTATATATGGTGTACTACACCCTCCAACGTTACATTCACAAGGGACCAGTGTTATATATGGTGTACTACACCCTCCAACGTTACATTCACAAGGGACCAGTGTTATATATGGTGTACTACACCCTCCAATGTTACATTCACAAGGGACCAGAACTATATATGGTGTACTACACCTTCCAACGTTACATTCACAAGGGACCAGTGTTATATATGGTGTACTACACCCTCCAACGTTACATTCACAAGGGACCAGTGTTATATATGGTGTACTACACCCTCCAACGTTACATTCACAAGGGACCAGTGTTATATATGGTGTACTACACCCTCCAACGTTACATTCACAAGGGACCAGTGTTATATATGGTGTACTACACCCTCCAACGTTACATTCAGAAGGGACCAGTGTTATATATGGTGTACTACACCCTCCAACGTTACATTCACCAGAGACATGTGTTATATAAGGTGCACTACACCCTACCATATTACATTCACAAGGGACCAGTGTTATATATTGTGTACTACATCCTCCAACGTTACATTCACAAGGGACCAGAATTATATATGGTGTACTACACACTCCAACGTTACATTCACAAGGGACCAGAATTATATATGGTGTACTACACACTCCAACGTTACATTCACAAGGTACCAATGTAATATATGGTGTACTACACCCGCCAACGTTACATTCACAAGGGACCAGTGTTATATATGGTGTACTACACCTCTAACGTTGCATTTACAAGGGACCAGTGTTATATATGGTGTTCTACACCCGCCGACGTTACATTCACAAGGGACCAGTGTTATATATGGTGCACTACACCCGCCAACGTTAAATTCACAAGGGACCAGTGTTATATATGGTGTACTACACCCACCAACGTTACAATCACAAGGGACCAGTGTTATATATGGTGTACTACACCCGCCAACGTTACATTCACAAGGGACTAGTGTTATATATGGTGTACTACACCCTCCAACGTTACCTTCACAAGGGACCAGTGTTATATATGGTGAACTACATCCT